TTTCTATTCTTAGTCTATGGAGAGATATTGTTGTAAATTATTGGTTGTTATAGCTTTTTGTACATTTCTTTTTGAACTCTGGTTAGTTTTTTCTAGTTTGAATGACATTAGGTTGACGAATAAGCGTCTTTTCAGAAAAGATTGATTCAAATTCGACTATACCAATCAGAATCTAGAATGTAAACAAATGCTAAAAAATCGTTATTTTCATGGTTTTTCAGTGCTATTTTCACTTATTTTTGTTATTTGACGCTATTTAGACAAATAAGCAAGTTTTCCGAAGCATAAAATTGAAGATTTCCCATCAAAATAGAAACTTCCTGATAACATCGGAAATGACGTTCTAACATCATTTTATTTGATTTGATTCTTCAAAAAATCGTTATAATACTATGTATTAGACCTTAAAATATTCGATATCTAAACCAGAAAGCGTTAGCTAGAAATAGATTTATTTATAGAACAACCCCCCATTTCTCACTTCAGGGAAAGTTATAAAACAGTTGGGTGCTAATGACTTTGTGAAAGGGAAAAGTTCTACACTTAGAAACTTCAAAAGAAGGGATTTGGCCTGTACCGTCCGCGGGCCGCATAAACATTGATAAGGGGCCGTATGTGGCTCGCGGGCCGCAGGTTGTGCACCCCTGATTATATTTTCTCAAATGCATATTCAATACAGTATATCTCTAAAAATTAAATGAAAATTTATAATATAATAATAATTTTTATTGTTTTTTTTTAGTTGATTGTGATGCTTCCTCAAAATCTTTGGAAGTAAAAATTGGATGGCTTTTAAGGCAGACACCTTGTTATGAAGAATATGTTGTGGCTGACACATTTGTAAGTTTTAGTGTGTATTTTTAGTTCTTTCACAATTTTTTTTTTTAGTTCTAAAACTTATGCAACTTTACATCAAAATACAGATTAACTTACTACAATTTTCTTTCTCATCTTAAATTGAATGTTAGAGTTTGTCTTAAACATATTTTATCGATTCTGGAAAGATATTGTAATCCATGGAGGTAACGTCCAGTGAACAGGCCTAGTGATTTAACAATTCAAATTCAAAATCTCTGATTTTCTGGTGACTAGTATACAAAAGACATCCAACTTGGTTTCCCAGTGTTTCTTTTAGAGCTTCTTGCAACTTATCTAATAGGTACATGTAATAGATTGGGTTGATTCTCTGCTTTCATCATATGCTATATCAAAATTATATAATCTTTGTTCCATAGCTTGGAAGTCATGCTTTTTTTAGCCTGTAGCTGAATGCAAAACTTTTTTGATTACAAAAACGCATTATGGTGTTATTTCTTACATTGTTCCTTTACCTCAGGATCATAATGATAGATCCATGTTTCATTTACAGTCATCAATCAGGCCACAAAGTTTTCAGCACTAATGTGAAACTATGCCAAAATATCTCAGGAGGCAATCATGCAATTTGACTTTTGGTCTGCATTGAGGAATTTTTGAATCTATTTTGCAGACAGATTTTTCCTATTGAGGATGTTATGTATGATGTGGAAAATTCTTTTCTTGAAAAATTTGCAAGTTTTCAGCAATCTTCATAGAAATGTTGATAGTCTTAATCAGGTCATGTTTTTCATCCACTCTTTTATCTATTGCTGTTGAAACAGTCTGTCCAGAGTGTGACTTATCTGTTACTTTGAAATGTGTTGTTCAGAAACACATTACTGGTTTTTTCTTCATTATCAGGCAGGGGCAGTCTTCCTTTAGAACTGCCAGCATGTTGTAATGAATCTCTTGTCTTCTTTCTCTTGAAGAAATGAGAATTTCATGACTCTGTTCTTGTTGGCATTGTTAAATTCTGTTCTTGATCCCACTGCCATGGATTCAAATTGCTAAAAGGAAGCAAACAATGGTTGTTACGGACTCTTGTAAACTGTATTGAGAATTTTTTTTCCTACAACTCTCAAAGCACAGTTTTTGTTCACTTGCACCTAGGTGAAGTTGCAAACATTTTAGCACCCGTCATGTAATTTTTCAAGTAGTTCAAAATTAAAACTTTAGGTAATAAATGTATACAGAACAAAATTAATGAGATAGATCTGGAGATTAAAAATGGAATCGGCTCCTTTGTTTGATTCATTATTTGGACAACTGCTAAAATTGGGACAAATTCATATTAAACAATTATTAAATTATAATCAAATAGTGAAGATGTTAATTACAATTCCAGTATGTCATAACAGACAATCTAGTAATTGTTTTTCTTTCCTTTGAAATTATTTAGCATGTACTATATGTATTGAATTTCATATGATATAAAAACAAGAAAAAAATTGAATTGATATTTACCATTATGTATACAGTAATACCCCGAACTTACGCGATAAGTGGGACCGAGCGATAACCGCGTAAGTCGAATTCACGTAAGTTGGGGTAAATTTCGCATATAAATACATACAAATAATTTTTAATTTGGGCCGGAGACTAAAGAAAACAATAATTTAGAAAAAATGTTTAATAAAATCTTAGATAATACCTATGTATAACAAATTAAGCCTATATTATTTTACAATTTTTCACATTTACTTGATTATTACGCCATAATTTTAACATTGTTTCCATCTCAGCGATAATACCGTGACGTTTACGAATGATNGATTGAACTACATTTGAAAAATGTGAAAAGTCATATTTTTTTTATATATATAAACACTTATGAAATTTATTATCTGGACAGGTACCTGGAAAAAATGGCCTGAGGAGAATACTGGTTAAGCCATTGGCTTTTGCCATAGAACCTGTAATGAGAGCAGTGCTGAGAAAACAATGCTTTTACATCTTTCTTAAAACTCATAAAACTTGATTTAGAAAGGAAAACTGCATGTGAATACCTTATTGTTTTTCTAGCATGTTATTACTTAACAAGACTTAATGAAATTGATTATTTAAATAATTTCTCAATATAAAAAAAATCATGAAATTCAATTTTAAACTCATGATACATTTAATTGAGGAAATGTGGTATTTGAACGATGACTGGGTTATTCTATAAATTTTACGTAATATTGAATACTTAACACTTTCCTGTTTGTACAACTGTTAATTTACAATATTATTTTTTATCAACAAAACATTGCTTTAATGGAGGAAAAAATTATAGTCTAAGTGTTTTTGAACATTGAATGTTCAAGGGCACTTGTTCAATGTTCAAAAATGACATTGTTTTTCATCTGTTAAAGTAACTTTTGTAATTATTTGCATTGAAGTGGATATTTAAGGAATCAACTTACTTTTGATTAAATATTAATTTTTGAGGCCTTTCATCTCATCATAAGTTCAAACACAAGAGTTTTGATATTTTAAATATCAATATAATTTTTTTAATAATAAAATAATAAAGCATTGCTGAATCTGCTTGTGAATAAGCAATTCTGTTGAGTTAGGCATATTCCTGAATTGTATTACTTTTTTCTATTTACTGTTAGAGATGAATTTCACACAGTACTTAGTTTACTATTACTATCATTATCAATTATGACATCTAATTTTGTCAAGAGAAAGGGGAAAATTTTTTTGTAGTCACTTGTGTATTTTTTTTTATCCCTGTTACATTATAGAGGAAATTGCATGCATTTTATTAAAACAAAATATGGAAATATAACAATCATAAGATAAATCTTCAGTTTAAAAAATCAATTGTAATGGGAAAATTTTTTTTTTATATTGAAAATTTTTGTGCCATTATATAGTAGTAATATTTCTGAGCAATTCATTAAATTTTCAAAATTGTTTTGTACAGTATTTTCACTAATCTTAAATGTAAGTCAAATACAAATTACAATCTATTATATTAATGTTTGTTATATTTCTCTCAAAAAGGGATAAAGGTTTAAAAATTCTAGCTTTTTTTTGTTTAATTTTATTCTAAAATTGTTAATGAAATTATGATTGCAATGACAAGTTGTTTGTCTATCTAACAATGGAAGTAGCTGATTTACAGTACAGAGTTGGAATTTTTCTTATTGGTTTAATAATATGGATATTTTAATAAAGTTAACCACAATATGATTTGTTGTGCACAGCAATTCAAAAAGGACTTTACAACTTTGAAAGCATATAGCATTTTAATCAGACTTACAGAACTGGTTGAGGCATTACTTTTTAGCAAACCACATCAAGTTACATCTTAATCATTTTGGTTTGATGTGAATACCATTGGTGATACAGCAGACCAAATTCAATTTATTGACAAACTTGAAACAGCATCCAAAGACTTACAAGCTAAACATTCAGTTTTCAGAGACCTGTTTTTTGGAAACACTTGAGAAGTGGCTCCTATTATTTGGACAAGGAGTTGTGAACACGTCCTGAACACAAATCAAGTTTCGTTCAAATCAGAGACCAGAATGTTTGGCCCTCTCCTTGTCGATGAATTTTGCAGACAAAGGTGGAATAAACACTAGATCTTTAATGAAACCCCAAAAGAAAAATTGAATGGTCAAATCAAATCTAGGAAATGAATTGACCATGCTGTTGGCCTTGTTTGACCAATCCATTGACCCGAGAGATGTTTATTGAGAAAATCATGGACATTTATTTGATAGTGGGGTGGTGTGTGTGTGCTCTTTCTGAAAGGGCATGCATCCTTTGTAGTTGTTGTTTAACTATTAAATGAGAGAATTTTCCAGCATACCCAGATAAATGATAATCAATAATACCTTCATGAAAAAAAAGAGGCCATACATTATCTTTGCTCAGAGCACAAAAATATTCATCTTTAGAATTTTGCGAACATGTTTTACAGGTGCTCCTTGATTTTCAAAGTTTCCTGTAAATCCTGTTGTAGGTTGTCATTTTACCACTGAGAAGAAATGTTAACTCATCACTGAAGATGTTTTTTAGGAGTGTTGTCTTTTTCAATCCAATGCAATATTTCTATACTAAATTATCAATTATTACATCATCACAATGCCAGGTTGCAAGTTTTAATCATATTTTTGATTTATTTAATTTAAAATATATTTTCTCCACTTCAAATTAGTAGTGGCTTGCCCCTGTACATCATACTTTTCCTGTTGGCAATAGAGTTGTGCTGGTCATCTATCTAACACCTTTCGGGGAAAAAGTTTTGAATTGAAATAACATGACTTCTGGTTTGCATTGGACATTTGTATATAGTTAATTGGGGCCTCCTGCCCCTAAGGTTAGATAGATGAAAGACGAGACCAGATGGTCTCGTCTTTCATCTATCAAATTGCAGCCCAATGAAACAAACTTGGTGTGTTTTCTGTGAATTAACACCTCAACTGATTCTATAAGTCTTCTGATTAAAATTGTATACACTTTCAATAAAAAAAGCTTATAAATTTTTTTTATTTCTTTGGTTATATCATTATAATTTTTTTTATTATATCAGGGATGCACAACCTTTTGTGAAGAAGGGCCAAATTAAGATTAAGTTTACTGACTAGGGGCCAGACCTCCAAGCAATTAATGCGATGGCTGAGATTGGATGCTGGCGGCAATCTTCTTNTTTAAAATTAATAAATACAAATGTATTCTGACAGTGAATGAGTTAATTATGCTTTCTATTTGCAAAATTCCTCAACCTTAACACAAAATAAGAAGAACAGTGAATTTTTAAGAAATTTGCGGGATTTCCCGGGATAAGAAAAATTTCCCGGGATATTTCCCGGGTTAAAAAAACAACTGGGATCCCGGAATCCTGTTTGAGAAACCCTACCGTGACGTTTACGAATGAGGCTTGAATTTAAAAATTGAGCATTTTTCACAGCTTCGAGAATTTTTTCTTTACCTTTTATAATTGTTCTGACTGGCAATTCCGGTAGATCAAACTTCTTTGCCAATTCACAAATTTTCATTTTTGTATCGAAGTTTTTAATAATGGGTACGTTCGTAAAGTCAAACAAGTTAAACACGTTAGTAACGAATCGTTCGAAAAGTCTAATGAAATACGAATAACGATGACGTCATTCTCGTTTAACTCATTCAACTTTACAAACGTACCCAATTTTAACTTTACATTCCAAAGATAAAGTTTTTCTTTTCTTGTTTGATGCAGAAGAATTAGTTCTACTTCGTTTAGATGACATAGTAGAGTCTCTCGAGTCTCCGTAGTTATAACAAACACAGAAATAAATAACACAAAATAAATTGTAGCTATGCGTCAATTCCGCGCGACACGTCCGAACATGTAATCTGAACAATAGTGTGGGGGGAGTGAGTAATCAAGGGTTGTGTGGCACTCAAACAAAAGACGAATCGACGAGATTTGAAAATCGCGTAACTCTGGGTTCGCGTATGTCGAGGTATTACTGTGTATATATAATGGTAAATATCAATTCAATTTTTTTCTTGTTATATATATATAATGGTAAATATCAATTCAATTGGTTGTAATAGCATAAGTTATATATATATATAACTTATGCTATTACAACCAATTAAAAATTTTTAAAAGAGTAGTATCATTTATGAGTATTTCATCTATCAGATTATCACCTGATAGATGAAATGACAAATTTTACCATCTTTTCATAATTTTATCATATAGCTTCTTTGAAATTATGATTTGAAGAATGGGAAATGTATATTAAATAATTGATGGTTTTTATTTTGAAATTTTGACTTTTTGACTTTTTTAATTTATATGACTTGAAATTTTTCTATTTAGCAAATAAGAATAAATATGAAATTGGCTGTTGTTTAAAATTGTTTAAATATATTTTTAGAAAGAAGAGTACTTAAGTATGTATTATACTTGCCCATGGGTTTCTTTTAATGTGATTCACCCAGAAGTTCGTTACTTAAAATCAAAGGAAATTACAGCAGAATGTTTACATGCAATTCAGTTATTGGTTTGTATTATTATTAAATTTTTATTGATATATATTAATCAATAGATACTAAATATATTAAAAAATTTATTGAAAATATCATATTTTACCATAATTTTTGAAGTATAAGCCATGGATATGTTGTTTTTACATTGGAAAAGGGAGATTGCAGCTTGTGTGGAAAATTTGACATCATTCTGCTAGTAGCAACATCATCTGAACTACTGATGTTCCATATTATTGAATAATCAACTATTGATACAACATTTTGCAATATTGAAGTCAGAAAAATAAGTACTGACCAATATTATCATCAATGATCAGGAATATCAAAATTAGGAAATAAAAATCAGCAATATCAAGAATTATTAAAAATTACATATTAATTTAATAACTCAATGCTAACAAACATTGAAATTATCAATGAAAATTTCTTTTGTTGCCAGTAATGTTTTTAAATTATAGTTGTAACTGTTGTTTTTAATAAACATTTGTATATTTTTAACTTGCAATCAAATGTACTTTTTCAAACATACATACGAAGGCTATTTTTTAAATAAGGTTCGTTTTTTAATAAGAAGAAAAATATTGTAAATATTATTAAAATATACTTTTTCCCATATTCTACATACTTTTATCTACTTTTCTACATAATTTTCATTTTTGTTCAAACATTTGTCATACCGCTCAACAATTTTTTGAATTCCAACTTCAAAGAAATCTGCCGCCTGTGAAAAAGCCTAATCCATGACTGCAGTTTTCATTTCTATGTTGTTGTTGAACTGTTAACCACCAAAAAACTTCTTTGAGTATCGAAACAAATGAAAATCACTGGGTGTAAGGTCTGGACTGTAAGGTGGATGATCCAGTTGTTCCCATACAAAAGAACTGATTAGACCTTGTGTTTGTGCAGAAACTTGTGGCATTGTCATGGAGCAACATCACACCAGAAGACAGTAGACCATGCCGTTTGTTTTGTATAGCACGCCAGAATTTTCTCAAGATCACACAATATGCATCAGAATTGATTATTGTGCCTCTCAGTTTAAAATCCACTAACAAAATCTCTTTCCTGTCCCAAAAGACAGTTGCCACAATTTGTGCTGAAATGGACTGTTTGGCTTTCTCTTTGGTTGGTGAAGATGTGTGTCGTCATTCCATTGACTGTTGCTTGGACTCAGGAGTCATGTGAGACACCCAAGTCTCATATGTAACGATGTGGTCCAACAATTCATCTTCTTCCTGATTGTATCGAGTCAAAAATGATAAAGCACTTTCCAATCTTTTTGTTTTGTGATCATCAGAAAGCAGTATTGAAACCCACCGAGAACACAATTTTCGATAATTCAGTTTCTCTGAAACAATGGTATACAAAACTGATCTTGAAACCTGTGGAAATTCAATTGATAACATTGAAATCGTGAATCGTCGGTCCTCTTGAATTTTGTTATCCACATCATAAACCAAATCTTCAGAAATCAGAAGTCAGCCAGGACATGGCTCATCGTGCACATTAACCCGCTGGTCCTTGAACATTCTCATCCACTTTTGATCTTTGCTATCACTCATAGTATTATCACCCTAAACTTCACAAATCTGATGGTGAATTTTCGCTGCTTCCAAGTTTCCTGCACTCAAGAATCAAATAACAGATTGTATCTTACAGTCAGCGGGTGGCTCAATTTTCTTAAACATTATAAACTTTTACAGCTCAGCACACAGACAGATGATATGGCTGCAAATAGTCCTTAAATGTGCACAAAGCATGCTCAGAGCAGACGCACACATGCACTGCCGCAATCGCACGTCATTCTCACTCTCATTCACAAGTGGACCTTATTTAAAAAATAGCCCTCATATATGCATAAGGTAGCACTTTTCCACTAATTTTTCATGTGTAATTAATTATATTGCATGTAATTGCTATTCCTCAAATTTGGTAATTCTGAAAAATCCTGTCATATAATTTCTATGCGTGTACCAAACTTCAGTATCATACATTTTCATTTACAGAACAATGTCCTTTGCAAGTGTGTGGGCTAATGTGAAATATGTTCAGCTGGAAATAAATGACAGGAGAGCTGAGGTATTTCTCAGAAGAACCAGCTAATGATTTTTCTGTATTTTTGGAATGAAATAAATCCAGAAAAACATTTAAATTGTTGAAGGTTGTAGCACCCAGACTATCTTACAGAAACAAGTGTTCAAAGACATAATGACTTGCAGACCACACATTATGTCACATATAGCTGACAAATGTCTGTGACATCATAACTACTACTTGCATCAATAATGAAAGATTGTCATGGAGATCACTCATGATTGCCATGTATGCATGTGCAAGATGGCAAATTCCTATGGCAGGGGGCCTGTAATAAGTATAAAATCTTTTTTGACCAAAGTTTTTACATGAATAGCATATATGCATAGATATCAAGGAAGTATAGCTAAATAAGTCAATTTTGAAAAAATATTCTTGTGGAAAAACTAGTAGGTAGAAAAAATCACTACTCTTGCATGTGAATGCATGTTTAACATTGAGATTTATCAGCAACTAAAAGTTGGTGTGGTTAATATAAAGGTGCAGGTTCTCTGTCAATTAGTTTACAATAATTACCTGTTTTTACTTCCTGCAGCTTATATCCAGATGTTTTATAGTCCAAAAGTTATGGTAGTTTTTAAATTTATATTTGATTATCACATTTCTGTTAACTTATAGAAATAAATTAATTCATTATATTTAATTTTTTTAATTAAACCTTAAAAAAATATGCAATTGCTGGATAAAAAATAGAAATAATTATAGTTTTGATATGTCAGTAGGTGTTTTTCTCATTTTTGGAATTTGATAAAAATGAGTTAATTTGGAATTTTAAAAAATCAGTTACAAATTTCCTACATAAATTTTACTAAATTACTGTGCTGATGTATTGAAAAAAATATATTATTCTCTAAATACAATAACTGAAATAACTTTGAATATATTTTAAAATGAATATCTGTGAAAAATGATTAATGTTTTTCAACAATATCTATTAATATGATATAAGGAAGTATCGTCAGCTTTTGCTTTGAACTCTTCATTCTTGTGTTAGATTTCCTGATGTTGCACCGACTGTCATTCCCGTTTTGTTGGAATTTTTATTGGATAATAATGAACAAGCTGCAGTCGATGTACTCACTTTTTTTAGAGAGACTATGCAACGTTTTGAACAATATCTATTAATTCAGAACATTAAATATTGATTCATACAAAGTATTAATATAATAAAGTTCCTTGATTGATTTTTACATTTAGGGCTACATTATCTTCGTTATATTGAATGATAGTGTGTTTTCTTTTAAGTTGTAAATTTACCATATTATTTCTAGTTCTTTTGAATTTTTCCTATATTTTAACATTTTAAATTATTGCATTTCTGTAATAATTTTATCCAGTCACTCTGAATGATAAATTATGTTTCCTGTAATATTCATTAATGATTGTGTGTTAAATATTGTCTTTTGTTTTATTTTTATTTCTGGAAAATCACAAGAAAAAAATAAAGGAATCTGTTTTATCCTTTAATTTTTATTTAGTGTAGTAATTAATATATTGTCTGAAGAATTGAAAATGATTCTCTGATTTTTACATTAAAATATAAATCCAGTACTAAAAAGTGACAATAAATAGGCATTCATTTAAATTCAAGAAATCATAATAATAGTCTGTACAAGTGTTATCAAATTTTTCTAAATTAAAAAATATATTGTATTAAGTCTTACTGTTTCTAGATAACAAAAATTTATTGTTCAGTAAATATTGTTCAAATGATTATATATACATTTTAAACAATTAAGCAATTATATTTGTAATCAAATATGTATATTTACACTTTTATACATACAGAAATATTGGTTTATAATTGAAATAAACAAAGTAAAACAAAACATATTTATGTTAAAAACAATAAATTCTAAAAAAAAATTGTAAAATTTCTTAAGAATAAGCAAGTTAAATTCACTCTTTTCTATCTGATTTTGAAAGAATTAAAGACAAAGATGGACTATGACTTGAAACTTAACAATTATTTCTTACTTTATTTTCCATTTTTCTCCATAAGCATTTTGCCTGTTAGCATCATCAGTGAATATCATGATTTACATTGCCAATGCTTTTATATTCTATCAAATTATTCCAGCATGCATCTACATATGCACCAGTATTTAAATTAATAGCATTTACTTAATTTTTGATACAATAATGTTCAACAATACGTCTCGTTACAAGGTTTTCTATTTTATACAATATTTTGATATTATTCCAGTCAATAATACACTACAATGCTGTTGCCACAGGGATTCAGTTCTATTTTAGTCGAATTGTCGCCTCACATTCTTTCAGTCTCACTTCAAGTTTTCTTCCCATTTCGCCAATATAGCACTTTCATTCTGTACATGTATGCATCAACCTATATACGACTCCTGCCTCTTCCAGAGGATTCTTCGACTGTTTCACATTTTCTTTGTTAATCAAATAACTACTTTTATTTAACCTATTTTGCTGTTCACCTACTAAGTTGACAAAATAATAATTTTTTAAAAAGCTTTTATATTTTTCATAAAGTTTTGAAATATATGGAATTTTAATATATAAGTAACCTATTTTTTTATTTTTAACATTATATCTATTATTGGTATAAGAGTTATACCACTTATATACAAGTTGCTGCGGATATTCATTTAATAAATACAGTCGACCCCCCTATAAGATATAGATACGTTCCAATTTATTAGGAATCCGATTTCTTACAAGTCGTTCCAATCACAGCCCGACACGTGTCAAGTTTACAGACTACGGCTGATTGAAAGGTTTTCTTCCATAAAATTAATCGATTCTACACTAATCCGACTCAACATTTCCAAAATACGTATATTTTTTCGTAGTTTTATAGGAATCGTAATTATAGGG